GGGGGGGGAGGAGTAAAAAAAAAATTCCATGACCCTCCCCCTAGCTCCAAAAATTTTCCATGACCCTCCCCCACACGTCAAAAATATAAATCGGTCGATAAATGACGTTCACATGTTTATTGAACGGTTGTACGGACGTCAGGTCTCGCGGGAGTCCCACTGAGCTTTAAAATGAAACCGAAACGTCGATATCAGCTATGTAGTAGCGGCATGTAAAAAAATTCTCACATGACGCAATGTAAAATATGATATAGCCAAGTATTTTACGCTCTAAAATTTGCAATATTTGCGTCCGTATCCATCGTTTCGCACAGCGGGAGTGGTGTCAAATATCTCAAATACACGTATTCTCCAAGCAGAACTTTCGGTGGCTGCAAGGCAGTGTCAATGGCATCTCAGTGTCCGATACTCCACCGACACAGAAGATAACGGCACAGCAAAAGACGATAAAAACGTCTAAAAGCACGCAGATAATTATTTTTGCTTGTATAAGGTAGAGTGAAAGTTACCCGGATGTAAGCTTGCGATTGTTCGCACTTGCGCACTCCCTGCGTTAGCCGGATGAGTTTAATGGCGTCCGTACGGCCCAGGAAGTCAGCCCGGGAGTTAGAGGCCCGGATCCTGTCCAAAACCGTCTCATATTGGAGTTCTGAAAGAAAGAAAAATGGTTATACGAACTGAACATTTTGTTTAGTCGGTGAAGGTTAGACATCCAGGTTATAAGATACGCCAAAAAACAGTTACTCAAGCAACTGGATATGATTTTGGAAACGGTCAGACGTTTCAGATGGCATCCACTACCTATCAATAGTGTCACTGACGAATTGTGGATTCTACCTGAAACGTCTGACCGTTTGAACGTTTCTAAAATCATATCCACTTGCTTAAGTTACTGCTTTTTGGCAATATTTTCGTTTGTATCAAACACTAGTTTTGAGAAAATTCAGCGTAATGGAACTATACATACCTATATTCAGTGGGACTGCGATTCCGTCATAGCGAAAACACTCTGTGATGGTGAAACTGGAAAGAAAAAGATAAAAACGATTATGAAAATCCTTCTTTTAATTCAGATATCTTAAGATAATCAACTCTCATTAATTAACTCTCACACACCTATCCTGAACAGAGACGGGGGGCGACACAAGTTATCTGGTACGTATGACCCGCTACTACGGTCACGTGTCTCTGACGTCACGTTCCAAGAGTACACGGGTCCATTCCGTGAACAAGGTTGAAGGAGTCAGCCAAAAATTTGGGGTAAGTCCCAATTCATTCCAGTGTTGGAAGGAAATTTTATTTTCATTATAATGAATTGTACCAACACAATGAACTTTCATGCTCTCACTAATAATTACTTACTTACTTTACTTTATCTGTCCACTTCTACCATTTGGGCTGTCGTGGGGAGGGACAGTTGGCTAAACTAATTATTAATTAGTTTAATTAATACTTTTACAGTTTAATTGATACTTTACCATGGTACCGCTGTGCCGTCCCGCATCTGGCAGACTTTGTTCTCTAGGTCAATGACCTTTGGCTCAACAGTCACGGTGCTGTCAACTCTCAGGATTGGTCTCGTTCTGGAAAAATAAGGAACAAACTTCATAAAAACTTTAAAAGTAAATAGGCTGTCGTATGAAAAGCAGAAAGGGCAATACTGTAGAGCAATTGTATACAAGGTATCATAAGAATACAGAAATAGCAAATTTAGACATTTTTAAATATCCATTTCATTTATAACATATAATGGACTTGATACAATGCTTCGATAATACATGAATCTTTCATATCAATCAATTGTGCTTATAAACCTGCATTTCCCCTCTGGTCTCTCAGTCACTGACGAAAGCTAGTGGATACTACCTGAAACGTCTGACGTTTTCAAAATCATATCCAGTTGCTTGAGTATAACTGCTTTTTGGAATACATGAATCTATTGACTAAAAGATATGCCTTGCATGGACTGTACAATCTTACATACCTCAGAACGACGGCAGTATCAGTAGCGTGTGCGCCGACGATCAAGTCTGTGCCAAAAGAACACAAGAAAAACATTAAGACGTTTGGTATCTTGCACCAACTCACTGTATCAGACTATTTCGGGGAAAAGGCCTCGAACACATATGACTCCCTTTCCAAATAACAACAACCACATTACTTATTATATAACTCTGGCGTAATGGTAGGGCATTCGGCCCGGAACCTGGCTTCGATTCCACTTACATGCCCCAACGTTGTGCCCATGGGAAAAGCGATTCACACAACTTTCCTCACTTCATTCAGGTGAAAATGAGCACCTAGCTTCGGTTTAATACGGACATTCCTCTTATAGGACGTAAAATGGAGGTCTCGTGTTTTGGAGAGAGCCACACCTTTCGGAAAAGAGTAGCGGTATGCCCCGGTGTGCGATGGTGCAAATATTCAGCAAGTTGATGTTGCCAATTGGCTACCTTAACCCCCAAAGACAAGACAAAGATGCCCCGTACCTCGGTACTGGTTGCCGTCAATATCAGCTGATGCAGACAAGGAGAAACCAAACGTACGGATTCCTGGGACAACGGCTTCACCCGAAATTTTCTGGAACGAAAATTCATAATTTTAAAGAACAGAAGGGACATCAGATCAATCAGCATGACAATCAGACAATTAGCCATATAAAAGTCAAATATTTTTTTTTTTACCTGTGAGTACTCCGTCTTCAGGCCATACGGTGACCCGTTATAGATGTAGACAACGCCGGCGGATTCCTTCCCACCGTACGGTGCAGAAATCGCAACATCTACGGCACAGATTGGACTAGATTAGTACAATTACAAGAAGACTACCGATATCTACTCTCCAAGCAGGAGCTTCTGTCGGCATTTCTTTCATTGGCTTCCCTGAACCTTTATCACAAAACGCAAGGTGGGGCTAATGTTGTCTGTGACCCTTCCAAGGAGGCCAGTGAAAGAAATCTTAGCAACTTCTACCACATGATCGAAACCTATGGTATCCAAACCCGTACCAATCTAGTTCTATGAATTAGAGTTGTCCCTGGCACGGTTCTGTATACGCGTGGACTCATGGTTCTGAATAGTAAGAACCATACCTGAGCATCGGATACAAAGAACGGTTCTGGATACCACAATATCTCTGCTTGAGGGAGAATAGCACAGTATCATTTGTGCTATCAAAGTCAACATTAGATAAACATCATTGAAATTGTCTGGACATGAAAACAGAAATAAGTCTAGATTTGCCTAAGATATGGAAGCATAGAAACTTACCGTTGTACCCGTCCTTGCTGATATCTCCCAGTCCGACCATGGACAGTCCGAACCTCTCCCCGGCACCCTCCCCGATCAGTGTGGGAGCGATGTTAAACCGAACCTGCCAGAAAACAAGTACAAAAACCATCCAAAGTGTAAAGCAGCAAAACTATGACGAATACCCACCTCTTCACCAAAATGCTGTTCGCAAGTATTACATTGATCAAATCAAATCTTTGTTGAATAAGGATCTCGCGGACAACACACCCGACTGTCGTCCTTATTACAGAGAATATCTAGACTGAGTATGGATCACTTTAAAACAATGACTGGTTACATTCCACGAAATATAGTTTATGTCACATGTAAAACATTTACAAGACCATTACAGTTAAAATCAATAAACGATATGCCATGGTCCGGGCTTTAGGTACGTACACTAATTGATAAATTTCAATATCCTAGCATCCAAGCTATTCAGCTTTAGGAACCTATGGAAATCTGTTTTTACATAATAAAATCTTTCAATCTGTCAATATAATAAAATAGATCATAAGAATGCTGCTGTCTCACCCTGGAGCCGTACGCCCTGAGCTGGTGGAAGATGTACACCCTGCCGCGCTCCCAGCCGTCCTCCGGCCACTCCCGGTCTGTCCACATCGGCGCGCCAACAAGCACGTCGTCTGCACTAAACATGGAAGGAAAAGTTTTAAGATTATAACTATTTTTGATAGTACGATAAGGTCGTATTCTCGTTGAAGGTTAACATCCCGTCTGTAGTTTCCAAATATTATGTCGGAAAAACTATCGTCTGCAACAGGCAAAATTCTATTGCAACGTTGACCAAACATCCAACAGAAATCGCGAAAAATCAGGGTTTTGCTCAGGCGCAGTACGTTCTGCCGACGTGGTCTATAGCTTCTGACTCACCCGTCGCCGTTGACGTCCTGCACGCACACGGAGTACCCGAAGTACGCCCCCATCTGTTCTCCCGCCAGGGTGGCCAGCTCGCGCATGGTGGCGTCAAGGATAACTACCTAAAAGGGAACAGGACGTTTAATATAATAAAGGGTCAATGCCCCGTCCCGAGGTGTATATGGTGAGATAATCCCTGCGCTACGCTCACTTGGTGGTTTATCCGGTGGTTATCGCACCTGACCAGGGATTATCTCATCATATACACCTCGGGGCGGGGTATTAGCCCTTTATTCTATACCCTTTTCTTTTTGTACTATGTTCAAAAACATTTGTACTATGTTTGCTTGGGAGCAAACGCACTATATACTGCTGGTTCTTATTATTGTTTATTTGTCCATTTAATCAAGAAAGAAGGGTCTGCTTACCGCACCGTGCATCATCTTCGCTCGTGGGACTCCGACTACATATTCTGTAATGGTACCAACATCATCAGCGCAATTACTAGACATAGCAAGTAAATAAGCAATTTTGTGAACTTATACAACGTGAGCCTTAGTGATATAAAGTGATGTTAAAGTGTGAAAATTGAAATCTGTGTCTCACCGTCTTCCAGTGAATCTCCGTCAAACTCACCGACCGCTGTTGAATACCCTATACAGGAATGATATAAACGTACGTTTGTTTATCTCTTGATATACGTTTCACAACTTTTCATTACATACTGCTTCCCCTAAATCCTTTATACACTTTCTGTGCATATTGAAGTCAGGGATGCATGCATGGCTGCATGCAACGAGTGATCATGAGAAAACGTTTAAGAATCTAAACACTCTTTCGTGCCATTTGTATTTCTGACCATGAGTATCACCACCTACCGAGATACGTGTCGTTCTCCTTGGCCGGTCCGATACTGGTCCGCCGCATCAAGCTCCTTCTGACGCTTTGTGAATACACCTGTCCTGGAGATGGGCAAAATGAAGGTAAAGGTGATTAAAAAAACAGCCAGGTGAGCCCCAACTGAGGTGAATCATAATGCTATTTCAAGTACCTTATAGTGCCATGAGGATTCGCTACACAGTTATAACGGTTTGTAGCCATCGGGTCAACTTTACACATCTCTTTACGCATCTCGATGCTTAAGGCGTGAGTGAGTATCATGTTCATGATACATGGAAATTATTTGAATAATTCGGCATGACAGGAGCTATACAAACAACAGAAAAGATGCCCTACCTTGCCAGTTGTAGCTTCCAACTGCACCTATCAAAATTTTGCTCCCGTCCTAGCAAAATAAATGTATTTCATAAAAGACATTAATTTCAAAGTACTGGGCACAAATTGTCATAAATAGTACAATGTGAAAGTTTTAAGTCTATTCCTGCAAAAATAAAATCTAAGTAAAGCAAAGGCCCTTGACATGTAAAAATGGCCCGCTATTCGTAAACGCAGGGATGGTGATGATTCGGAACTCACGCTGGTGAATGTGACGCTAAATCCCGCCTGACAGAATCCGGTTCGATGCCATGGTGCAATGTCATATTCATCCGCTGGGTGGGAATATAAATGTAATTTATTACTTAAAGTATCCAGGAAGTGAGGAAGTACACAAGAAAATCCAGCGATATTTGCCGCAAAAGCGCCACCTATGCAGAACTCCAGTCAGAAGCTCTGAGGAAGGTGTCTGATAGACACCAAAACGTCTTATTATTAGCAAGGTAGGACTAGTTTGGTTGTGTACAAGAAAATCCCTATAGCTATATCTTAAGAAAATCCAATTTTTTAGCCGTTTAGGGTTGAAAAGGTCGATTTTCGGTCACTAATACACTAAAATCAACAAAATATAAACTTTTACACACCACAAACGTTAGCTAATACAAACAAAGTCTCTTGGTAGAGCAAAGTAACTTACTCAGTAACCTACAAACCTGATGAAACTATTCACGAAAGTCCCGCAGTCCCATGTTTATGATAAGAATAATTCGGACAAAAATCGCGAGGAATTTGCCCTTCTGAAAACCCAGACATACCTGAGTGGCACGGAGTGTACTCTCGGAACGAGGTGAAGTTTCTCCTAGCAACGAAGCAGCTGCCGATCGGCTCTCGTTCCCTGACGTACTTGGTGTAGTAAACGTACCGTGGGGCGCACGCCTGAAGAGAAAACACACAAGCAAATGGTTACCAAATTACAGGATTGTCGGTGAGGCCATGTTAATTGGATTATATGGATGACATCCACTGGGAACCTTAAAATCGATGCGAGCGTGCGAATGAAAAAAAAAAGTTTGGGGCCGGGGTTCGAACCCACTACTAAACGAGCACCAGTTTCAGACTCCGACGCTCTAACCACTCGGCTAAAAGGTCTAGACCCCAAACGCCAAAAAGCAGTTGCTCAAGCAACTGGATATGATTTTGGAAACGGTCAGAGTCAGACGTTTCAGGTAGCATCCACTACCTTTTATCAGTGACACTATAAGAGACTGCAGAGGAAATGCAGGTTTATAAGCACGTACTATTGATTTGATATGCCTTCTTTTGTGGATCCAAACTCAGAGAATGTGTACTTACCACCACAGGTCCGTTTGGTCCCGAGCTCTTGATGGAGGCGCCGAACCACTGGAAGGACTTGTCCTCCTTGTAGAGCGTTAGACTGCCGTCTATCAGGTCTGATCCTGCGAAGGGGGGAGAGGGATCAGTGTAGGCCAGAAAATTATGCTAACAAAAGATATAAGGGTTTTCTTTTACAGAGCCAAGAGTTCCTACATCGCTTACGTTTCGAGGTCTATCAGACATCTTCTTCAGAGCTTCTGACTGGAGTTCTGCTTCTCGACGCTATATGTAGCCGATGTAGGTGGCGCTTTTGCGGCGAGAACACAATCCCAAACGTGGCTGAGTTTGTACCCCCCCTCATCCCGGTTCATCACTGGGGTCGACTTCCGCAAAAGCGCCACCTATACCACGGCTACATATAGCGGCGAGATCCCGGAACGCCTGAAAAGGAGGCTACGCAAAAACGCCACCTACATCGACTACATATAGAGTTGTACAGTAAAAAAATGTGGGTGAGTCCAATTTCTTGTGTTGGAAATTACAGTTAAATCTTGCTCATAACTGTCTAAGAAGAAAGGAAAGCCCTACCTACCGGCCCTAGTTTTTCCAGGACTGAGACCGGAAATACCTACCCTTTCCTGTGCCTTACCTGTAGCCTCTACCAGGCTTCGGGAGGCGGCTGGAAAGAGTAGAAATCGGCTAAATAGAGAAATAACATGCCAGGGGAGTTGGTCTGCTAAAATGTTCTCTCCCAGCAGACAAACTCAGTCCCCTGGCATGTTATCTCTCTATTTAGCCGATTTCTACTCTTTCCGGCCGCCTTCCGAAGCCTGGTAGAGGCTACCTTACCTGTTGTATCGAAGGGAATCTGCACACACGGCTCGTGCTCCAGGTTACACATGTACGCGGCGCCGGGGTGGTCCGTGCCGGGCTGACGGGTCTGGGCTCTCGGCGCACCCACTAACATCCTGGGGAAGTTCCATGGAAACAGTTTTATACCAACACAGGGGACAATACAATACTCATTTTCACTTGTCATGTAAAGTGCCTTTCCCAAAGGCATGCAAGATCGGTGGCATGTCAGGACTCGAACCCGGGACCTCCTGGCTCCGAGTTGAGCACTCTGCCGCTACGCCATACGACCCCAGGGGAAGTAGTTTTAACAGTGCTACACCGTTTACAACTTATAACACTTGTTCCTGTCACAAAACGCTATCTGTCACAAAAAAATCAAGACCATAGCATGTTCAGGATACCAAACCCGGAAGTTCTGCTGCAGTACCAAGGTGAGCCACTAGGAGGCCCATATTAAACCTTGACCTTTGTCTTCCCAGGACCTACCAGCATACCAAATATCATCACAACCCATAAAGTTTTCTTAACTTATACTGACCACAAAATTCGGAAACACACAAACACACACACACACACACACACACACACACACACACACACACACACACGCGCACACACACACACACACACACACACACACACACACACACACAGTATCTCCATTTTTAAGAGGTCATTAACACATTACTTGTCTTGATATAAAACGAACTATCCCTTTACTTGTGCTATGCGCTTCGGTCTGAGTACTACAGTTGTCTTCTGTATGGTTCACTAGTTTGTTGACTGAAGTTTTCTCGGGGATTTAGAAGTTCAGGCGGTCAGTACCTCCACGTGTTAGATTGACTGGTGAGAGTTCACCAGGGCACATTCTCAGGGCGGGACGGTTCTCGCAATGCTTAAGAGGGTGCTATGCTATGATAGCGGTTGGAAAGAGTAGAAATCGGCCAAATAGAGAGTCTGCCGCAAACTGTACTCTCTAGCGGACCAACTCCTCTGGCATGTCATCTCTCTATTTGTCCGATTTCTACTATTTCCAGTCGCCTCACGAAGCCTGGTAGAGGCTAGTGCTATCATGATACTCCTGTAGCCTGGTGAACAGACCGTTGTGGCCACCCGAATGACAATATCTGAGACATTACACATTTTAACCTCTGCCAGGCTTCGAAAGCGGTCGGAAAGAGTAGAAATGGGATAAATAGACGCTAAAGGAGTACAATTGGTCTATTTGGCCATTATCTACTCTCTCCAGCCACTTCCGAAGCCTGGTAGAGGCTAAAAACATCGCCCTAGTGTCAACCCCTATATTTTGCGGATGTCAAAACTGCAGCTATTGTCGTACGTGACCAGTTTGAGTAAAAGCACTGGCAATACATTCTGTTTTTTACTAGTAGTTTCTTGATAGTTATCAGTAGTTCTATGTGTACTAATTATCTGTTTTTATACAAATGTTTCTTCTGTTCATGCAATTAGCCCTCGGGCATGAATTTGCAATAAAACTTGCTGTTATCTGTTATTACTATCATTTCAGTACGAAGGCTCCAGACCGTTGCTACATTTGCATTCTTCCAGCGGCCCCTGCCTGTGGAAACTCACGTCCCTCTCCAACTTCCGCACAAAGAAGACGGCTAGCCGTGTCTATTTACTCTGACACGGACAATTGAGAACTCTTGGATAGGAGCCAGGTACACACAGTCGGTGCCAAGAATCTAACCCCAACTCAGACCTTTCACAACGTTTTAAGTCTAGTTGAATTCTTACTTGCCATTTCACGACAAGCAGCTTTCTTTCTTTCATGAAAGTTCATCTGTGTTGGTAGTAATCATAGTAAAACGTTGAACTTTATTCTAACACAAGGGTTACACAGAGATCAAATTTTCAGCGATCACTGTCGTCTTCATCAGGATAATTAATGAGCAATCACTTTCTTCCTTTTCTTCCTTCCAACTGTTTTGGCTTCGGAAGGCGCACCCGGTGCAGCAAACTGTACCGACTGTACGTACGAGGACCAACTCCCTCGGCATATTACATGTATATCTCTATTTGACCAATTTCTACTCTTTCCTAGTCTCCACCAGACTCCTTTTGCAGGCTGAATAAATCGTAGAACGGCAGGCAAATTGAGCTTCTCTGGCCGGCTACCTTCTCTGGCCCCTTCTAGGCCGATTTCTACGATTTATTCAGCCTGCAAAAGGAGTCTGGTGGACACTAACTCTTACCAGCCGCCTCCAGAAGCCTGGTAGAGGCTACCATTAGTCATGATTCTTACTGAGGAAACGTAAACGAGCGGGAAAACAATCGGTCCCTGTCTCCAAGGAGAACTCTTTCCAAATACAGACTAGCGGTGCGTGTAGATGTTGACATTTCGTACTTACACAGCTGCAACTTTGTAACAAGAAAGGCAACGATTTCCCCCAAGTGTTAGGACATGTATATCCTGTGCCAGGTCTGAAGACTAAACCATTTCTGTACCTGTTTAGATGTTACAACGAATAAAATTCAAGAGAAACGGTAGAGCATAATTGTTATAGTCTTCCACAGTTAATAGTACACACTACAGTACACATTTTCATACGGCATTTGAACATTAAATGCAACAATTTCCCCCACGTTGAGACATGTATTCCGTGCCAACAACTGCCAAGTCTGAAAAGAAAATCGCTTCTGTCTCTGTGTATGTCTTACTTCGCTCAGAATCCAAGAAAAATAGTATAAACAATAGTCTTACACAGTTACTACTACAAACTACTGTGTACTTTTCCAAACGACATTTGGATAACATCAAATGCAACAATGTCACCATTTCTCCCAAGTGGAGACATGCGTCTTGTGCCAAGTCTGGAAAGAAACCGTTTCTGTCTCTGCTTAGATATTACTTCGCTCAGAATCCAAGAAAATTGCATGTCATATTATCTTACACAATGAAAACGGCATTTAAGCGAGTTGAGGTCACGTATCTCCAAGACCCCTATCAACATGGGCATCAATAATTATAAGGGATCGTGCATTGCACTTCCGGTGGGGTCGGTCTATGGTCATCAAATGGGGACCGTCCATTGCGCTTCCGGTGGGGGGATGGACCCCTCACAACTTTATCAGGTTTCAGACGGAATGTCTGGAGGTCAAGATAAGACTGCTAAGATAAGATGACAGTCGAGATTTAATTAATATGGAGCCACAGTCGAACCGCAGGTCACCGCAGATCTAGAACGCGTTATTCTCTAAGATGCAGCAAATGCTAGCCTCCATAGCACGCCAAAAACTGGGGGTCTTTGGGATCTTTTATGTGCTATTTTCTTATTGCATATAGACAACATAGCCGGTCTGGTTGAATTACCCCCGTTTTTTTAGAACTGGGCTAATCAGAAAACAGCCGAAGACCACCAAACCCCGAGTTCTAAAGCCTGCTACGAAGGCTAAGAACGCGTTATGCTCTAAAATATGGCATATGCCGGGTCACGATTTGACCCCGCTGCATGGGTGTAAACAACTGCCTATAATGCGACAAAAAAAACCTTATGATTATTGTTTATACTTTTTTCATATCTACAGGATTGGCAGAGTCCAACTGTGTAGATATTTCGTGCATTGCAAAATGACAGCGGACGCTACGGCCTTCCAAACATTTGCATTTTTGGTCGGTTTTATTTGTGCTTGTCTTTTTGACTGGTCAACTCAGTACTGGATCCGATTCAATTAGCTAATACCACAATGTGATAGCCCACCTCTTCCATTTACATTGATACCAAAGACCCCTGGTTAATTTTAGGACAAACGGGTTTGCCCCATATTAAAGAACTGCGACGATGTGGCACAGTGAAGGGTCAGGATGGGGAACAGCGAAAAGATTTTGGGATAAACCATTTGGGCATTGACAAGTCAGAGTATGACGAATCTGTTAGCCCGGTGCCAACTTTGCTACATAAATACATGCTACATACAAGCATATAACTCCTGCAACTACTCCATGCCAACAAGCATCCTTGCCAATGCTTACATAATGTATTGAAAGAACAGTAAAGTCAAGGGTTTCCTTTTCGTTTTGAGTCAATTTGCGGTTTTAATACGAGTCATTCGTGTGTATTGGGGACACGGAATGTATCATACAACACTTTACGGTGTTTATTTTCCAAACCTTGTACAAATTTTCTAGTGTACGTATTCTGGTGTATTATTTTCCCCGCTCGTTCACTAGACTTTCAATTCTTTCAATCTGGAATAGGTTATACTATTATAGATTTTTATGTAAATGCGTTCAGACATAAAGTTTACGGATTTTCAAGCTTGGTAGACCCCCCCCCCTCCACCTTGGTAGTACTTGCTTCGCCCTACCTCCACGGGATGTAGCGCTTCGCTAGAATTCCAAGTACACACGGTAATCTCTTCCGTCTGGTAAACGTCACTCAACCTATGACTTCATTGTTAAGTTGGTTTATAGACAAACATTGTTTTGTGGCGTCGTCTTGTGAACACGTGGCTTCCGCTGGTACCGAGAAACTCTACACTCCTGCATGGTGAGTCATCGTGAACCTGAGTGTGCTGGAGTGACCAGGTACCATCCACGCACTGTCTCTTACAATTTACACGGCCGTCACTTTTTCACAACATATGAAAGCTGTTAAAACCCCAATTTTGCTGACAAAATTTAGCTTGTATCAATGTCTTTAAAAGCACTTCGGCATTGCAAGGGAGTGTAGCTATTGTTCCCCCCCCCCCTCTTCTAGTGTGTGTATGTGTGTGTGTATGTGTATGCGTGCGTCTCTCTCTCTCTCTCTCTCTCTCTCTTCTCT